GGGGCTGCAGCATGATGGGGGTGATGGGGCACCACACCCAGATGCCACCACGGTGCCACCCCCATCGCAGCTTCCTAGTTCTGACCCTTGGTGCCCCTCACCCACACCTCCCGCCCCCAGTCAAGCGCAACTTCAGCAGCGGGACCATCCCGGGGACCCCAGGACCCAACGGTGAAGATGGCGTGGAGCAGACGGCCATCAAGGTGTCCCTCAAGTGCCCCATCACCTTCCGGAGGATTCAGCTCCCGGCCAGGGGCCACGACTGCCGGCACATGGAGTCCTACCTGCAGCTCAACTGCGAGAGGGGGACGTGGCGGTGTCCTGTCTGCAAGTGAGTGCGTGCCCCCGGCAGGGCCGTGCCCTGGTTTCCCTGCCCGTGGGGGGGTTCCCCTGCCCTCACCCTGCCTTTCCCTGCTCGCAGTAAGACAGCCCTGCTGGAGGGACTGGAGGTGGATCAGTACATGCTGGGCATCCTGATCTACATCCAAAAGTAAGTGTCCCTCCCGGCACCGTGCCACCCCTGGGGGCCCGCGCAGCTGAGCCACCAACCTAAGCCACCTGCCATCCCGCTGTCCCCAGCTCGGAGCACGAGGAGATCACCATCGACCCCACCTGCAGCTGGAAACCCGTCCCAGTCAAACCTGATGTCCACATCAAGGAGGAGCCGGAGGGGCCAGCGCTGAAGCGGTGCCGGACTCTCAGTCCCACGCACATGGTGCTGCCCAACATCATGGAGATGATTGCGGCTCTGGGGCCTGGCTCTGCGCCCTTCCCGGCACTGCCGCCACCGCCGGCGGGTGCTGCTGCTGACTACGGTGCTCCGGGTACTGGAGGACCTGTGGAGGGTGGGGATGGGCTCTGTCCGTGTCATGTGTATCCCCCCACGCACTCAGCTCCTTTCCTCCTGTAGGTTCCAGCTTTCCGGGACCCGGGGGCTTCCCAGAGCCGTTCCCCACATCTGGCACACCCCGGAGCCGTTCCCCCCATCTGTCACCCCTGGCACACCGACGCTGAGCGACTTCGCGCCAGGACCTCCCCCCATTTCTTACCAGTCCGACATCCCCGGTGGCCTCCTTGCCCCTGAGAAGCCCCCTGCACCCCCTCTCCCCGCGCAGGTCAGCTGGGCTGCGGGTGAGGGGCTCCCCCCAAGTCCCTATGTCTCCCCATGGGG